TGTAGTACAGAGGTTATTCAAGGAAAATGAAAGAAGGCAAGGCTTGGATGTGTAGTCAAGGGCCTTGTAATGGTTAATTTTATGTGTCTACATGGCTGGGCCATGGGCTGTCTAGTTAGTTGGCCAAACATCATTGTGGGTGTGTTTTGGATGAGATTAACATTTGAATGGCTAGACTGAATAAAGCAGGTTGCCCTCCCCAAGGTGGGTGGGCCTCATCAAATAAGTTGAAGACCTGAATGGAATAAAAAGGTTGACCTTCCCTTGAGTAAGAAGGAACCCTCTTGCCTGACTAGTGAGTCGGGACATTGGTCTTTTCCGGCCTTTGGACTCAAACTAAAACACTGGCTCTTCTTGGATCTCGAGCCTGCTGGCTCTTCCGCAAACTGCCGGCTTCTGCGCATGGGCCAGGAAGTTTCAATCGCACTGTACGTGCGCGCCCACACGTGGTATTTTGTGGAAGAGCCACACTCAAGGGGCCAAAGAGCCGCATGTGGCTCTCGAGCTGCAGTTTGCTGACCACGGGACTAGAACATACACAGTGGCCTATCCAGGTTCTCAGGCCTTTAAACTGAGACTGCAACTACACCATTGACTCTCTCCAGCTTGCCAACCTTAGATCTGAGGACTTCACAAGCCTTCAAAGTAGTGTGAACCGATTTCTTGTAATAAATCTCATTCTCTCTCTATATACATCCTGTTTCCCTGGAGAACCCTAACACAGGCCTAGATTTCCCTTTCTGAGTAAAAAAAAATCTACTTGGAAGTTCTTGGAAGAAATTGTGTACTTTTGGTTTGGATTTAATTGCTAAAGGTCAAAGCGTTCTGCTGTGGAAACTTGCTTGTAATTGAGTAATTTTGGAAAAAGAATCTTTTAGTTGGATGGAATTTCCCTTGCCGAACGTGCTAATGGCTTTGGACATTTGAGGCAGCATCTCTGCTTCTTTGGAGCTGTGAGTGAGTGCAGAAGCCTGAAGACGCCTTGGGAGGTTTCCTCTCTGTTCTCTGGAGAGGGCGGTCAAGCCTGGCACCCTTTTGGTGATGTTATTACATGAACAAACGCTTTCATGAAACATTTAAACATCATTTTTTAAAAAACCAGGCTACCTCTGTTTTACTGTGGTCCTGCTAAGTCCCAAAATTACAGTCTTTGAGAACTGGAGGGAATCATGGAAATGATGTAGTCAAAATTTTTCCAAATTGTGTTCCATGGAACATATATTCCTAAATGTTCGTAGGTGGACCTTGAAAAAAGGGATTCTATGATCAAGTTGGTTTGAGAAGGGCAGCACACACTCTCCCTTTTGGAGAATCCAAATGCACGTTAATAAAGTTTGAGCCCGGCCAGCGTGGCTCAGTGGTTGAGTGTCAACCTGTGAACCAGGAGGTCATGGTTCAATTCCCGGCCAGGGCTCATGCCCCGGTTTCAGGCTGGATCCCCAGTGGGGGGCGTGCAGGAGGCAGCTGGTCAATGATTCTCTCTCATCATTGATATTACTATCTCACTCTCCCTCTTCCTTCCTCTCTGAAATCAACAAAAATATATTAAAAAAATAAAATAAAGAATAGAGTTTGAGACACCTCTTTGAGGTGGAGACATCAAGTAGGCAGTGGGAAGGTGGGTCTGGATTTCAGGGACAAGGTTGGAGTTGGATACATAGGTTTGCAATTTAACATGTTTAAAACCATGAGAGCAGATGAGATTTCTCAGGAGAGAGTTTAGAAGAAATAAGAGTATGTGAGGTCTGGAGGTGCCGTAGCTCGCAGGTGACTGTGAGGGGAGGACCTGAGGATGGACCCAAGACTCGGAAGATGGCATTGCTGAGCCAAGTGACCAAGAGAAGCCAGGATACTGTTGGCCATAACTCAAGCCACTAAAGCTGACTTTACCATTGTACTTTTCAGCTACAATGCCAGTAAATTCTTTTTTAAGTTTTTATGTCATATCTCATGGAAAGAGTTCCAACTACTAGGACATTTCCCAATCTCTTTTGCACACTTATCTCCGTCTCCTCCTAGCCTCTGTTTCCCCATCCGCTTACCTGTCATGGAGGAGAATCAGCTGAAGCTAAAATGTCACCCCCACCTCGAGGTGCAAAGGGAAAGCACGACTTGCCCCAGCCAGTGTCTGTTGTCAACATTTCAGGCATGAGTGGAGGAATCAGTTAAGAACTGGTTAATATGGTTAAGGATTTTATTTTTACTTTTGGGTTGTTGGCAACCAACCAAAACCGACTCTGGCTAATTTAAGCCAAAGGGGGACTCTATCGGATGATTCACTAGGCTGCCCCACAACATCAGAGACAGAGCTGAGCAAGCTGCACAATGGACTAGAGAAGGGAGGAGCCAGAGTCGCCCGGGGGAGCCTCCCTGGGCTCTCACCAGATCCCTCTCTGGGCCCTTTCCAAATGGTGCGACTACCAGGCGCTCTCGGTGTTCAACCTGGAGATGACCAGGATAGAGAATAGACTTGAGGGGCGACAGGGTAAGGCGAGGAGGGAGAGAAGGCAAAGGCCTTTGGCCCAGGTTCCTGCGGGTGCACTCTGCCTATCTGAGAGGCTTGGGGACTGGCCAGGAAGGGTCTGCTGTAACCTCTGAGGAAGGAGCCACCCCGGGGCCTCTCCAGGCTGCCTGCGGCCTAGAGGTGATGACGAATAACCTCTGCGTCCAGCCGCCGTGGCTCAGGGGTCGAGCATCGACCTACGAACCAGGTCACGGTTCGATTCCCAGTCAGGACCTATGCCCCGGTTGCGGGCTTGATCCCTAGTGTGGGGTGTGCAGGAGGCAGTCGGTCAATGACTTCCTCTCATCATTGATGTTTCTCTCTCTCTCCTCCCTCTCCCTTCCTCTATGAAATCAATAAAAAAGAAAATTAAAAATAAATAAAAAGAGTAACCTCTGTGGGCTTCAGTGCTCGTAAGGCCCAGTGAGTGCACCTGGGGAAAGGCTTCCTTCAGTGCTTTTGGTTTTCAGGCCTCACGCTGTCCCAGATTCTGCCCAGGTTGGTCTCTCTATCTTCACTCTATATTTTTTTCCCTTAGCGTGTGCTTTCAGCCTTAGGAAACCTCCCTTTCACTCTACTTTCTCTTCTCCTCAAAGTTCCCACCCGCTATAGCCTGAGTGTTCATCCCCACCCCCCAACTCATATGTTGAAAATGAACCCCCCATGTGATGGTAATAGGAGGTGGGGGCCTTTGGTAGGTGTTAGGTCAGGAGGGTGGAGCCGTTATGAGTGGGATTAATGACCTTATAGAAGAGGCTCCAGAGAGATCGCTTGCCCCTTCTGTCATGTGGGGTTATAGTGAAAAGATGGCTGTGAAGTGGGCTCCCACCAGACACCAGATCTGCTGGTACCTTGACCTTGGACTTCCAGGCTCCCGAACTGTGAGAGACAAATTTCTGTTATTTCTAAGCCACCCAGTCTGTGGTATTTTTTATAGCAGTCAGAACAGACTAAGACACCACCCTTTAAAAAAAAGATTCTTATTTTAAAAATAATCTTTATTATTAAAGAATGATTCAGTCCTGGCCAGGTAGCTCAGTTGGTTAGAGTGTAGTCCTGATATGCCAAGGTTTCAGGTTCTATGAATGCACAAATAAGTGGAACCACAAATTGGTGTTTCTCTAAAAAATCAATTAAAAAATTTTTTTTAAAAGTATTCAAATAGTACCAAAGATTTTTCAATGCAGTCTTTTCCCTGTGCTACTTCTTATCTCTTGCCAGAAGCAATTACTATCAGTGTGCTGTGTATCTTTCCAGATGTAAATAGCCTATGTTTATGTCTCTATATCAAACCCAGGCTATTTTATTTGTAAACACAGAAGAGCAGATCATACACACTGTTCAGTACCTTTCATTTTCTGCTCAGTGATGTGTTGCTCATATCAAAACACATCTGTCTCACTCTGGCCAGTGGGCTCAATGGTTAGAGTGTTGACCTGTGGACTGAAGCGTCCCGGGTTCAATTTAGGTCAAGGGCATCTACCTGGGCTGTAGGTTCATTCCCGATTGGGGTGGGTAAAGTTGGCAACCAATTGATGTCTCTCTCACATTGATGTTTCTCTTTCTCTCTCTCTCTCTCTCTCTCTCTCCATATCCCTTCCTTCCTTCCTTCCTTCCACTCTCTAAAAAATCAATAGGAAAAATATCCTCCGGGGAAGATTAATAAAAACAAACAAACAAAAAAACACTCCTGTTTTATTCTTTTTTATGGCTGTGTAGTATTCCACTCCGAGGCCCCCACTAATGGGCAGGCTTTTGCAAATACAAATGATACTGCAGTGAACACCTTTGCAAAGGGCAACAGATATTAGAATCTGATTCAATAAACCAAGTAAAATTAGGCTTTTATTTTTGTTGTTATTGTTAATGCTCATGCAAAATTCAAATCTTGCGTGAATTTTGGGACACCCTTTACATGTGACTTCAGGCACCTAAGTAAGCACATCTGTCAGAAACAGCAGTGCTTTCTTTTTTTTTTTTTATTGTTTAAAGTATTACATATGTCTCCTTTTTCCTTGATTGACCCACCCCTCACAACAGTGCTTTCTTTTCCAAGAGTTACCAAAGCTTTGTTCTTCCAGTTTTCACCAGACTTCCCAGGCATTGCCCACATTGACTGCCTCCTCTTGTTTGTTTGTTTTTTTGTTAATCCTCACTTGACGATATTTTTCCATTGATTTTTAGGGAGAGTGGAAGAGAGAGGGAAAGACAGAGAGAAACATCAATGTGAGAGAAACACATCAATTGGTTGCCTCCTGAACGAGCCCTGACCAGGGCCTGGACTGAGGAGGAAACTGCAACCTAAATACGTGCCCTTGACCAGAATCGAACCCGGGACCCTTTGGTCTGAAGGCTGACGCTCTATCCACTGAGCCAACTCGGCTAGGGTGACTGCCTCCTCTTTCTGTCTATTCTCTAAATATCTATAATATGGTTTCTATCCGCTGACAGACTCAGAGGCTACCAATGATCTTAACGTTTCACCTCTGACTTTTCCATAGACTTTGACCCTCACTACTTATCCTGTCTTGAAACTCCTTTTTGCCTGGCTGTTTTGGTGAAGATAATCTTTGTCCTCCTCTTTCTCTAATCATGCTTCTCCTGTGTCCTTTACTTGCCTTTCAAAAGTCCCATTTGACTGGAGCTTGAGAGAGTGGAACCTGCTGGGCCAGCCCTTTCAGCTCCTGGCTAGCCCACACAGGCTTCCGCCTGGACCCCAGAGGAGTGTAAGGTTTTGATCAATGTCCAAGTCCAAACTCTCCTCAGGGCTCCAGTCTTTCATTAAAAAAAAAACATTTATAAAAAAAAAAAAAAAAAAAAAAAAAAGGTGCTAGTCCGGCCAGTGTGGCTCAATGGTTGAGCATCAATCTATGAAGTAGGAGGCCTTGGTTAGATTCCCAGTCAGGGCACATGCCCAATCTCCCGTAGTGGGCATGCAGGAGGTAGCCGATCGATGATGTTTCTCTCATCGATGTTTCTCTCTATCCCTCTCTCTTTCTCTCTCTCTCTCTCTAAAAATCAAGAAAGGAAAAAGAAAATTAAAACTACTCCAAACATCTTTTCCTTCAACCCTCAGGCCAGTTAACTTTTACCCTAGACTTCCCTCTTTCGGTCAGAATTCTGGAATTCTTCCTAGGTTCACAATCTGGTAGGCGTGCTTGACACCCCTTTCCCTCGTTCACTTTCCATCAGTTCCGACTACGCTTTGGGGTTCCATGCGTGAATTTTGATCCCCTTTGTTAGACTGTATGTTTTTAAGGGGCACAGCTTTGTCTTACCTAGCTCCCTGCGGCCTGCCGCACAGCTCAGCTCATAAACAGATGCACCAAATAAGGTTATGGAACCTTCTGCCTGGTGCCTCAGGCCTGTCTACATCTTGCAACTGTCACCTGGCTGAGACACTGTCACTATAAATAAGCAGTTTCTGTTTCAGGTACGGCTTGCCCTTGATATTGACACTCCATCTCTTACCCCACCCAAGCCTCACACGACGAAACGGGAATTAGAGTTGGTATTCAAATCTTTGGCCGCAGTACAGAGAGGCAACCCTATAAACACTGAGCCATCGATGTGAGCTGCTTTTATTTCCTCGAAGTTGTTCGACGTGGTAGCTGCTGTCATTCCACTTGCTGGGGAATTCTTGAAGAGATTTTGCTTGTTTTTCCATGCGCTTCTCTCTGTGGTTTCTTTGTTTCTTTTTGTGATCAAGTTCCAGATGGCTCAGCAGTGCCCTCAAAATGAATATTTTGACAGATTGCTGAATGCTTGCAAACCGTGTCACCTTCGGTGTTCTAATACCCCTCCTCTCATATGTCAGCGTTATTGTAATACAGGTAAGTACTACTGCTTGAACAGTTATTTGTTGGTGTGAAATATTCTTTCTATACTAAGTGTTTATTCAAAGAATAAACATTACAGGGAAGGTGGTGAGATTTTCTGAATCCAAAAAGAGAAAGGTAATGAGGTCGTTATTTAAATGCCAACAGGAATAATTATTCAGAGCTGAACTCAACTTGATGCGGCACTGTTAGCAACCCAGTAGTTTACCAGCTCTTCTAATTAAGTGCTATTTAGAATTGGAAAGTCAATGCTGATGAATTAGGGGAATTGGATAGCAAATAATCTTTACTTGATGTAGATGTTATTGGTTCATTCTCTCTCTCTGACATCTCTTTTAACTCAGTGAAAGGAACAAATGCCATTCTCTGGACCTGTTTGGGCCTGAGCTTGCTGCTGTCTTTGACAGTTTTCGTGTTGATGATCTTGCTAAGGAAGATGAACTCTGAACCATCAAAGGACAAATTTAAGAGCACAGGTTAGTTTGGTGGCCAATCTTAGAAATCTGTTTCCCAGGGGTGGCTTTTGCGAGTTTCAGTTCCTCTTTTTTTTTTTTTTAACACTGAAGATTTCATTAGGTTGGAGCCCTTTTGAGTGTGTCAGAGGACAGATACGTGAAACGCACTTCTCTCCTGTGTTTGCACCTTCTTTGCAGGGGTCCTACAGTGTCAGCCTCCTCCCATGTTCTTTCCTTGAAAATCACTCTTTTGAATTACCGAGGCTTTCTTGGGAAACGTCCATCTTTTTGATCAAAGTTCACACATTGACTAAATGTCACCGCTAGCCAGGTCTGCTACGATCAGGAAAGGTATATTCGGCATGATCCGTGGCCACATTTTTAATACAAATATGTGTTATTTGCTTGGGTGAATATTTTACTGCTGAAAAATGTTAGAACTGCATAACCAGTTGCTCCTGGGTTATATAAGCAATCATCTCAAAGATTAGCATCTTTTTAATCAGTAGAGAACCAGTCCCAGAGGACTGAATGTTCCAGAGAAGTGATTGTTCCTTAACACCCTCAAGGTCTGAAGGGCTTCTTAAGATAAAACTACTTCTGCGGCACCTTTGCTTACTATCTGATTCCCAAACACTCTGCAGCCCCTGCCCTATTTCTTTCTGCATTTTTGTGCACAATCTGCAAAACATCCACCTTATTCACTTTCCTGTGCAGGAAGGAAAGGTAAATGGTTGTCCTATATAATTTACTCATTTTTATTTTTGTTTTGCTTGGAATTTGAGGAACAGGTCGGGAAAGATGTCTAAGTCTGATGTTTTGGAAGGTGGAGTTATACTGTGGAAGGTTGGGGAAATAGTAAAACATCTTCACAGGCATATGGTGGGGGCATAATGGAGGCTCCTTCCTTATGTCATCATGGAGAGTTATTCAAATTTTTTAATCTGACACAAAACGTGAAAAGAGAAGCATCTTTACTTTGAATTCTAATGTGTGACTATAGGCTGATTTTGGTGTGCTGTAACATATGGTAATTTGTGTAAAATAAGATCTAGATAAGGGCCAGTCTAGATTTGTATGTCAAATCACTTGATTTTTAAAAATACTTTTATTTTTTTAATTCAAGAGCGAGAGTGAGCGAGAGAGTGAGAGACATTGATATAAGAGAGAAACATCTATTGCTTGCCTCCCACACACCGGGAACTGAACCTGCCACCTCTTGATGCACAGACAAGACTCCTACCACCTGAGCTGCACCGGCCAGGGCAATCACTTGATTTTAAAATGTGAGTCAACATAAGCAAACACGTAAAAACCCTCTGTGCCCTACAGCATGTCTTTGAGCCTCTTGTGTCCTGTGGCCTGTTAGTTCCTGGCTTCTAGTGTAGGACATACTCATTGGTTTTGTAGGGGAAGATCTGTCTGGCACGGCTTTCAGCCTGAGGTGTACTGCTAAGACTGTCACAACCGCACGTCCTGGGAAGTTCAGGTTAACTTTTCTGTTTCTGTGTAATCAGGATCGCCTCTCCAGAACAAGGTGAATGCTGACCTGGATGATAGAAAAGCTAGCAGGACCGGTGAGGAAATTCTTTCCAGAAGCCTGGAGTACACAGTAGAAGACTGTACCTGTGAAGACTGTGTCAAGAGCCAACCAAAGGTCGATTCTGACCATTTCTTTCCACTCCCAGCAATGGAGGAAGGCGCAACCATCCTTGTCACCACGAAAACGAACGACTACTGCAGGGGCCTGCTAGCTGCTGAGAGTCTCACAAGGATGGAGAAATCCATTTCCACCAGATAATTAACCATTTGGAGTGATGCAGAGCTACTTTGAAAATGTTTTGTCAGAGGAAAGGATGGGGTATCAGGTGTCTTTAGGATGATTGTTATCAGTGGCCGATAGAGCTTTCTGTCCTCTAATTCTAGAAAATCATTATGTTTGATATATTTCTCTACCTTACTGTTGGGAGCTTAACTGTGGAAACTTCATTGGTTTCAATGATTAAATTCTTGACTCACTGAAAAAAAGGACTGCAATGTGTAGATCCCATGGTGACGCCTTTCTGTGGCTGGACCACTTCCCTCCTATACATGCACATACGCACTTCAGAACAATTGAATTTTCCTCTTTATGGTTAAAGGCAAGCAAGGTTATTTTGTGTACTTCTGTAGGTGGGAGAAGCCTAGAGTCAGCCGTGCTAATTCAGTGTGCAATGACCGTGTGAGATTCCAGCCTACCGGAGGCCTCAGGCATTATTATAATCATATAAATACGGATCGAATTACAAACGGCGATTAAAGTTTACCAGGTATAATTTTCAGACCCAAATGCGGGTTAATAATGATCGCTACCACTTACATCGTTACTAATGTGCAGGGACTGTTCTAAGTGCTTTACCTGTACTAACTTATGTAATGCATACAATAAACTACAAGGTGGGTGGGCCACCATCATCTCCATTTTACAGATTATGACAGAAACTAAGGCAGAGCAAAGTAACATAGCCAGTAAATGGCAAAGCCATGATTTAAACCCAGACATCTTGATCTTTTTCTTTTTTTTTCTCTTCACATCAACTTAGTTCCATTTCTGAGTTCCCCATCTGTTTGGGTTACAGTCTTAGTTATTATAGGGCTGTGATGGCGAACCTTTTGAGCTCGGCGTGTCAGCATTTTGAAAAACCCTAACTTAACTCTGGTGCCGTGTCACATATAGAAATGTTTTGATATCTGCAACCATAGTAAAACACAGACTTATATTTTTGATATTTATTTTATATATTTAAATGCCATTTAACAAAGAAAAATCAACCAAAAAAATGAGTTCGCGTGTCTCCTCTGACACACGTGCCATAGGTTCGCCATCACTGCTATAGGGGGAGGGTTCCTCTTCTGGGTTGTGCAAAGCTCCTCATGGAAAGGCTATGCAACAGATGCTGCGCTGTGATAATCGATTGACTTTGATCATTAAGATGCCCATTGGTGCCACAGCATAGATCTTCAAGGTCTTGGGGCTTTGAGGCTTTTGTGTCAGGATGGGGATATGGGGAACTTTGGTGGGATCTTTTTATCCATTTGGGGCCCATCATGGCTCCATTTCAGGCCCTCGAGGGCCACAGGAGACAAAACAGTATAGTGGTTAAGGCACTGGCTCTTAGAGCCCGACTGACTGGGTTTGAATCCTGGCTCTGTTAGTAGAAGGTGATGCCTTGGGTGACTATAAGGAAGTTACTTAACTACTCTGTTACACAAACACACACATTTTCCCCCCCATAAAAGTATCTGGTTCATAATAAGCAATTTGGTTCGTTACACTGCTATGATTTTTATTAGTTCCTTTGAGGTTGAGTCTCTCTGAGGGCAGCACACACTCCTTTACTATTACATTGCTCCTAGCTGCTCCTTATCCCCTCACACCCAGTATAACCTGCTCAATGAATTTAGATTTTTCAAAAGTTGATGTTAGGCTTTTGATTCCTGGTCTTTCAGGACCAGGCTGAAGTCTCAGGAAGAAGGAATTATAACACTTGGAGGGGATGGTTGGTGGTAGAAAACATTAAGCACACACTACAATTTCCGTAACATATCCTGCATCAGGTGATGTGAAGGTGCAGGGTGCGATGAGAAAGTATGACACAGCATCCTCGTCACAGCTCCATGAAACAGGTATGAGATGGTCTACCAAAGGTTACAAGGGGTAGGCAGACCTAAGCTAGGTTTCCTAGGGGAGGATGCAGACACACCCACTCTTTCACTAGAATAACAAAGGAGCAACTGCCAAGTATAATTTTGAAAATGGAAAGCAACCCCACCGAGCAAACACACAGTATTTTCAACTACAGTTGAAATATATTAGTTTCAAATATACAACGTAGTGATTAGACAGTCAGATAACTGACAAAGGGATTACCCCGACTAGTACCCATCTGACAACTATTTTCATTTTTAAATTCTCCCTACACATGGCTGTATTTTGACAAAATTATCATCATGGTGTGTACGGACCATTTTGCATGGGGCTTTTTTAAACTTAATGTCTTATCAGTGGCCTTTCCCACTTTCTCATAATCTTTATAATTAATTTTCAATTACTGCAGAGATTCCTGATGAGGTGGGCCATAATTGTTTCAGCTACTCTACTGTAGTTAGGCTTTGGTGCTTTCCACTTTTTCACTATTATAACAATATATTTTTATTGATTTCAGAGAGGAAGGGAGAGGGAGAGATAGAAACATCAATGATGAGAGAGAATCACCCATCAGCTGCCTTCTGCATGCCCCCCACTGGAGATTGAACCTGCAACTTGGGCATGTGCCCTTGGCTGGAAGTGAACCCGGGACCCTTCAGTCCACAGGCTAATGCTCTATCCAGTGAACCAAACTGGATAGGACAACTTTTTCACTATTACAAAAAAACTAGAGGCCCAATGCATGAAAATTCGTGCAAGAGTAAGCCTTCCTTCCCCTGGCTGCTGGCACGAGCTTCCCTCCGGCCCTGGCTTCGTCAGGACATCAGGTCAAATTAGCATATTATCCTTTTATTATTATAGATGCTCCTGAGCATCATTCTCCAAAGAGCTCTTGAACTCTGCTGAGTCCAAAAGTAAATTCCCAGGGGCCAGAGATTAAGTTTTGAGAGGCAATGTAGCAGAAAGGCCATGCTGGAATTCTGGCTCCTTTTTCCAGTGGGGCGTGGTCCGCAACTCAGTGTTTTCAACTGTGTTTCAAGGCATATTTGTGGATCAATCCTCTTAGTCAGCATTTAAAAATAAAGGTAGGCTCTTCCTTCCAGGAGCATGCCTCTGTCTTTCCCTTTTCCCTCCTCCACTCCCTCCCTGAGGGGGGGAAAAAAAAGGAAAGTACATGAGAATACATTAAGTCCAGAATTGTTGGGTTAATTACTTAAATGCATGTGTGTATTGAGTTGTGATGAAAAAGGTACTCTTTTACTCTGGGTTGCAGGCAAACACGTTGAGCAAATGCTCCTTTAATATTTCTTGGTCCCCTAACCCCTACCTGGAAGATGGGGCAGTAAAATGGATTCTTAAGATTGTTGTGAGCATGTGTTCACCCATGATGATCTATTTTCATCTCCACTGCCACCATGTTAGCCCTAGGCACTATTATCTCTTGCTGGACAATTGCAATGCCCCCCACCCCTCAACCAGCTGCCCCCTCTCTACCGTCCTGCTACAATTCATTCTCAAACCCTAAGAATAATCATTTAAAAACCTAATTCAGACTGTATCATTCCTCTGCTTAAATTCTTACAATGGTTTTCTATTCCCTTACCTACCGTGAGTGAAAAAGGGGCCACATGCCAACCTGACTAACTCAGGGAAGGCCTGTGTGGCAGCCTTGCAAACTCAGAGATCTAAAGTAACCACAAGTGATGGTCTGAAATTAAAACTTTAAATTAAAAAGCAGTTTAGCCGTGGCTGGTTTGGCTCAGTGGGTAGAGCGTTGGCCTGCGGACTGAAAGGTCCCAGTTTTGATTCTGGTCAAGGGCACATGCCTGGGTTGCAGGTTCAATCCCCAGTAGGGGATGTGCAGGAGGCTGCTAATCAATGACTCTCTCTTATCATTGATGTTTCTCTCTCTCTCTCCCTTCCTCTCTGAAATTAATAAAATTACATATTTTAAAAAAGCAGTTTATGGTGGGTAGTCATGTCCTAGGTTGGTATCTTCCCTGACAGAGATCAACTTTGATCTTAACTGAGCTTATTTAGTCTTTTTAAAAAATTCTTTAAAGAATTACATGTCTCCTTCCTCCTTCCCTCCCCCCATCCCCCATTCCTACCCCTCAGGACAAGCTCCCACCGCCCAGTGTTTGTGTCTATTAGTTATGCTAATATGCATGCATACAAGTCCTTTGGTTGATCTCTTACCCCTCCCCCGCTTCCCAGCCTTCTCTCTGAGGTTGGAGGGTCTGTTCAGTGCTTCTATGTCTCTGGATCTATTTTGTTCATCAGTTTATGTTGATCATTATATCCCACATATGAGTGAGATCATGTGATATTTATCTTTCTCCAACTGGCTTATTTCGCTTAGCATAATGCTCTCCAGCATCCATGCTGTTGCAAATGGTAAAAGTTCCTTCTTTTTTTATGGCAGTGTAGTATTCCATTGTGTAGCTGTACCATTTTTTTTAATCCACTCATCTGCTGATGGACACTTAGGCTATTTACAAATCTTAGCTATTATAAATTTGCTGCTATGAACATAGGGGTGCATATGTCCTTTCTGATTGGGATTTCTGGTTTCTTGGGAAATACTCCCAGAAGTGGGATTTCTGGGTTGAGTGGGAGTTCCATTTTTAATTTTTTTTGCATATAGATAACACACCTTTGGAATGTCACCAGTAACTTGTACCTTCCCTTTTCCAGAACCCTTAGGGCACAATCAATGTGCAAATTCCCTCAATGTTACTGTTATCCTTAATTGTTAACTGTGAACTATCCTATACCCACCTGTGTAAAAGAAGCATGTGTCTATCATTTTACTTTTTTTCCAATCCCAGAGGTTTCCCGCTTTGCTTTCTACCACTTCCCTAATCTATCACCAATGGATTTCACATAACCCACTTACTCTCCTCCTTTGATGGTAATTTATAAAATTAGGTGAAAAACTGCCATTTTCCGGAGCATTATCTCAATACGTTGAGATTCTGCTTCGCAGCAGTTGTTGACAGTTTGGCTCAACTAAACTCTAAAGATACTTTACAGGTTTGAATGTTTCTTATGCTAACACTACTTAAGAGTTAGGTTGAAAAGTCCAAACTCCTTACAATGGCTTGCAAGGCTCTCCACCCAACTCTTTTTTATTTTTAAATTTTATTGTTGAAAGTGTTACATAAGTCCCCCGTTCCCTGCTACCCCCGCCCCCATCATCTCCATTAACCCCACCACCCCCAACCTCTGCCCCAGGCACTCACCTCCCCACTGTCCCTATCCGTGGATTATGCACATACGCAC